AGGGAGCCCTCCCAGCATTCCCAGTATTGCATCACTTCAGCACGCCTCTGGTTTAGAAGCTAGCTCCTATGTAGAAGTTGCCTTTGTATATCTGATTGTCGGTCAAGGCTGAGCTGCTTTCTCAAAGGCAGAAACTCATTCTAAACTCACTGTGATGTGTGGCACTGTGTTAGATGCCCAGCATACGTTTTATCCACCAGGCAGTCGTTGACCATGGGTCTAGCAGGGAAGGGCTGTTTCTTGATGGGAAGAAGGCTTAGGAGGGTAGGAACCTGATCCCTGAGCCTGGTGTATGTATGTGATGTTTATTGAGTGACCACTTAGAGCACAGCCCATTGTGAATCGCCCGGAATGCCGGTGGACCGTGCTGGTGGCAGAGTTAATACTGAACACTGACTGTTGATGGGCTCCCTGCATTCACGGTCCCTTCTTCTGGGAAGGGAAGGGAATTGCCCTGATTTCCTTTCGGGTAATAATCTCTCTCCCATGCTCTGGGGAGTCTGGGGGGGCTTTTGGTCATGGAATGGACATACGACCCCAGGAAGAGGCCTCTTCATTCTTGAGGGGAACAACTCCAGAATGAGGCCTGGGGGTTGTAATCAGGTTCCAGCAGTGGTTCCCTGACCAGATTATCAACTGGGTTTTTTTTGTTGGTTTTGTTTTTGTTTTTTTAAGGAAAATAGTTTTTCTCTTCAAGCGTCACAGTACCAGCTGTATTATAAATGTAGAAGTACTGCAGATAAGCACCATAGCAGCAGTAATACTGTATTTCATACTAAAAGCCTCAAATTTTCCTATTTTGTGTTATTCTTTATCGTAAGAAGAAAAAGATTCTTAAGTTCTTTATCAGGTGGTTATTTCAAGGGAGAACTGGTTTCTTAACTAAAACTTACACTCTTTAGGAATTCCGAGAAATCTCTTACCTCAAGAAATTGAAGATCCGAAAGCAGGACCGTATATTCCCCCCAGAGACCAGCGCCCCGCTGGCGGCAGCACCCCTGCCCTCTGCAGCCTCAGCGCCCGCCACTGTGAACTCCGCTCCCCCAGGTGCAGCTCCGGGCCAGCCTCGGGGGAGGGTGGGGGGACTGGGGCCCTGAGCTTAGGGTGGAGAGGGTGTCCGTCTGGGTTCTTCGCTGGCTGATCCTGGGGTGAAGCTCTGCCCTTGTTCTCCCCATCCCACCCCCAGCAGGAGGAGGTAGGTTGGGGAGGGGGGCTTCTGAGAAAGACCAGGGAGACAGTTACCTGCAAGGGGCATTCAGACTCTCCTGCCTGACTGCGCTACGCTACAGAGCAGCATTCCAGGGCTCAGCCTTGTGCTTCCGGGCAGCCCTGCCCCCACCATTCATCCTGAGCCTGATGTGCTGCTAGGTCTCTGTCGCCTGCAGAGACTTGCCGTACTTGTTGTGATCAGTGTCAGCGAGAAGTGCTCCACACCAACAAAGGCAGTGAGATGAGTTTGTGTTTTTGTGGCAGAAGGTACTGCTGTGTTTGTTCACTCAGGGGCACGTGTGGCGTAGTCTAATGGTCATGGCCACCGTGTGCTGGGTGGAGGATGAGGATTCTTCTGTGAACGTGAGCCCAGCAGTGACCTCCCTCCATCCTCTGGGGAGGGGGCGTGTGGGTGGTCATCCCGAGTTCAACCTGCTGCTTGCAGCCTGGGTCCAAGAGCAGGTGTGGTGGGCCAGGCGGGGTCGACGTCCGGGCCCTGCCCTGAGGGTCCCTTCTGCTTTCCCCTTACTTGCAGTTCACAGCTAAGTGATTCCGTTCCCTGCGGAGACCTCGGCCAACTTTCAGTTAAACCCTACGGGTATCCCTAGTTGTTCTCCCTCACAGGGACAGCTTAAAGGACTCCTCCCCACAGTGTCTCTTGTGGAAATGTGTAACCAGCTCTGTATGTTCCCATTCGCAACAAACAGAAGGCACACCCCTGACCCAGGTCTTCCTGGCCGGGATCAGTGCTAAATACCTAAAATGCCAGCGTTCTTGGCACCCGAATCAGTTCTCTCCGCTCAGTGTGGTCATGCTGACCAAAGCTCTCAGTGACTGCCGTGGACAAGGCTACTTTTTTAATTTTTTTTTGGCTACGCCGCACAGCATGCAGGGTCTTAGCTCTCCAACCAGGGATCGAACCCATGCTCCCTGCAGTGGAAGCGTGGAGCCCTAACCACTGGACTGCCAGGGAATTCCCCAAGGCTAGTTTTTTTAATGGGGTTGATTAATAAGCATCCTGTGAGAACTGTAGTTTGCTTTTAGGCATGGGGTGGGAACAGAATAACAGAAGGAAATCGGGAGTTCACGTGACCCCGGCGTCCCACCCTCTGGCCGGCCTCCTGGTCTTCCTCGTCTGTCTGTGGAGCAGACCCAGGGCGCCCCCGGCCACCTCTGCTCGAGGCCTGCTGTGGAGCAGTGTCAGTGCACGGCTTCTCCCTGGCCGGTCCTTTCTGTGCTGAGGACTGCGTACAGGTTGCTATCCTGTCCTCTGCTTTCCTGCTACTCTTACTCTTTTCTTCTGTTTATGTAGACTTCTCCTCAAGGAGATCCCTTTCTCCCTGATCAGAGAGGGTGCTGAAGCCGTTCGGGGGCCTTGCAGCCAGTCTGGCTTTCCCCTGGGAGCTGCTGCCTGGTCTCCTGCTCCCACCCTCCACCCCGGGCAGCAGCCCTGCCTAGTGATCCTTTTCTCCCATCCCAGACAAGCCGTTATCCAACATGAAGATCCTGACTCTTGGGAAACTCTCCCGGAACAAGGATGAAGTGAAGGCCACAATCGAGAAACTCGGGGGGAAGTTGACAGGGACCGTCAACAAGGCCTCCCTGTGCATCAGTAGCAAAAGTGAGTTCAGTCTGCCTGTGAACCAGAGGGATCTCTGTCTCTCATGGTGGTGTTGAGAATTAAACGAGGTGAAGTGCCGAGCGCAGTGTCCGACACACAGAGGGACCCCAAAACTGTGTCTCTTATCATCGCTGGCATTGTTCAGGTCCTCTGGAAAGGGGTGTGGGCACTTGTACTTGGCACTGCTGCTCCATGCTGTGGTCTATATTCACGTACCGAAAACTCCCAAGTAAAGACTGTAACAGCCCACTCTTCTCACCTTGTTCACAAGATGTTGGTTGGTTTGCCTCCAGGCAAAAAGTTCACAGCTTAAGCAAGTTTGGAAAATGCAGAGTTAAACGAAGGTGAACAGGCTTCTTTGCAGGCTTAATATGCCGACGACCATTGTGAGTTTCCAAGACCAGAAAACAGTACACCGCTCTTCCCATAGGAATCTGACCTCCTTTCTCTATGTAATACCTATTAACATCTCGTTCTGTAGAAGGGTTTGGAGAAAGCAGCTCTCACTCATCGCACCTTAGAAAAAGGGGGATGTTGCTGGTGAGAGACGATTGTGGAAATGAACCAAGGCCCCAAGCACTAGATTTTTTTTTTTTTTTTTTTTTTTTTTTTTGAGGTACGCGGGGCTCTCACTGCTGTGGCCTCTCGCGTTGCGGAGCACAGGCTCCGGACGCACAGGCTCAGCGGCCGTGGCTCACGGGCCCAGCCGCTCCGCGGCATGTGGGATCTTCCCGGACGGGGCACGAACCCGTGTCCCCTGCATCGGCAGGCGGACTCCCAACCACTGTGCCACCAGGGAAGCCCCACGCACTAGATTTTGAAGGAGAGGAGAGCTGTGGGTGACGAGGGTTGGGAAGTACCCAGCAAGTAATAACTGTGTAGTGATTTGAGATTTCAAAGTTCTTTCCCTCCGATTTGAACAGAGGAGGTCGACAAGATGAATAAAAAGATGGAGGAAGTAAAAGAAGCCAACGTCCGCGTCGTGTCTGAGGATTTCCTCCAGGACATCTCCACCTCGACCAAGAGCCTTCAGGAGTTGCTCTCAACCCACCTCTTGTCCCCCTGGGGGGCCGAGGTGAAGGCAGAGCCTGTTGAAGCTGTGGCCCCAAAGGGGAAGTCGGGGGCTGTGCTCTCCAAGAAGAGCAAGGGCCCCGTCAAGGAGGAAGGTGAGGCCCCGAGCTGCCCCGCCCTGCCGTGGCCCCATCCTGCCGGGGGCCGTGGCCTCTGCCAGGCTGGCCAGGTCCGCCTGTGCACAGCCTCTCCCTTTGCGCCCGAATGGTCTTTTGAACGCTGCCCACACCAGTTTTCTCATTCGTTTTCCCTGGGCGCAGGATGGTGCGAGGCAGCACACAGATGCCATGTTGACATCTGACACAGGTGAAGGTGACCCACTCGCCCTGCCTGCTACCTTCCCCTTCCTTTTTATTTATTTTTAATTTAATGTTTGCACTTCTCTATCCCCTTCCAAGGTACCAACAAATCTGAAAAGAGAATGAAATTAACTCTTAAAGGAGGAGCAGCTGTCGACCCTGATTCTGGTAAGGGAACGGGAGTGAGCAGAGTGAGCTGTGGGCACCCCGTTGATGAGGGAAACCATGTGGGACAGGGCTGCGCCTCGCCCTCTGGCCTCAAGGCTCCCCGGTCCTGAGAACGCACACGTCTTGTGGGGAGCCTGCAGACCCCCTTCTCCCTGTGAGACTCATCACAGGAGCTCTGTCCGTGACAGGTCTGGAACACAGCGCACACGTCCTGGAGAAAGGCGGGAAGGTCTTCAGCGCCACCCTCGGCCTGGTGGACATCGTTAAGGGAACCAACTCCTATTACAAGCTGCAGCTCCTGGAGGATGACAAAGAGAGCAGGTGCGCCGAGGGCGGGAGTGTCCAGCAGAGCTGTGCTCCTGAGAGACTCTCAGTGCTCCTGGGAAGCCAGCCGCCTCATGAAGAGCATGGGTGTGTCGTGAGGCCTGCAGTGAGGGAGGGAAGAGGCCCTCGCCCCCAGACAGCCTTTCTGTCCTCACTCATCAGTGTTACCTCGGGCTCCCCAGTTACTAAAGGCGTTTGGGTTTGCATCTGTTTTATTTTGAGCATAGTGGAGGCAGGTAAGAGCCAGTTCTGGGGTGCTGAGGGACTGGGCTGGCTTGGCCACACACACTTCTAGTACGGGCAGTTCTCTGCCAAGTCAATGGGCCCTCATTGCAGCCAGCACAGAACAGGAGCTGCATGTAAGTGGGGAAGGTGGGGGGAGCACTTTCGTATATTAAACTGACCTTTCCTTTTTAGCAAATGAAAACAGTTTACACATTGGAACTCCAGGAGATCCAAAAAGCTTTCCTTGTTGAAAGGCAAAACCCCTGTGAGAGTGGCAGCCCCCGGGAGATACAGTCAGCGCCCGGTGCATCTTGGCCAGCCGCAGGTTGTAGGCACTGGCAGGCTCAGGCTCTTCACATCTCACCAAACCTTTCATTGAAAATGTGGATGTCAGAAGTGACCCTTAAAAGAGCACACAGTATCTGTGTGGCTACTTAAAATTTCTGAAGAAATAAAAGCCTGCGTCATTTACTTTACTACCTACTCTTGCTGGAGATTAGAAGGTCGAAGTAGGGTATCTTGCTTGTAAAACATACCTTCCAAAAGCTAGATGTGTACTGGAGTGCAGGAGAAGGGATAGGGTTTTTGTGGAAATGTGCTGAGTGCCAGAGTGTGTTAAACAACAAGCAAATGAGAACAGAATTGTCCACCTCCGGCAAGCAAATTCTAATGGTGATTTTGGACATGGGCGTTATTCTGGTGGCCTAGATTTATTGGTTTTTAGAGGGAAAGGACAGTGTGGGCTGTTAGAAGGTTTTTTTCAGGATAGGTCAGCGTGGTGTCTTCCAAACATTTCCAGAGGGAAATAACCCAGCAGAGAATGAATTTGTATTTCTCTGGGCAGTAGCCCAGAAAGCCAGCAGGAAGCCCCAAATCTTCTTTGAAATCTCTGGTTTTATTTTTAAAATGCATCCACATCTTTCTGGATTTCCAATATATCTGTGTTTATTGTGATGTAAAATTTAACTTATGCATGATTTCCACTAAAAAAAATGAACTCGCCCAAAGCTAGGCAGCACAGCCCACAGGGTACCCAAGACTTGGCCCTAGATTGAGATAGAAACTGAAGACGCTAGCCTGGGTCTGTAGGTGGCTGACCCTGCAGGCCAGTGGCCCGCCCCCTCCCATTTCATCACATCTCAGCCTCTGATCTGAGCCAAAGGTTCTTCATTATTTTTAACACACGTCGTTGATGGTTGCATCACCTTGGACGCATGACTTCCAAGTGTTGCTTGCTGTGTTTCTTTGGGGAGAAGAATTGGATACTCTTATGTAAAGTTCTGTAGGCCTCAGGATTTACTCCTCAAGTTTGGCTGCCAGATACAAGGTTAACACCTGTTCTTTGGTACTTTTTATAGCCCATTTGCCAATATGATTTGGAAGGGCATTTTTAAATTACTCTAAACTTACAACACTCAGTTTAATCAAAGTAAAATTAAGGTCCTTCATTGTAATACCAGTTGCTTTTGTTCCTCTTTGTCAGTCACCATCATTGTGGGGTGTTTGCAGTTGTTTCTCCCTCAAGGGGAATGGCAGGGAAGGGAAACTCATCCTGAAGTACAACAGGCTGACCCTTGAATTTGTATCTGGTGTTCCTCCTCTCCTCCCACAGGTATTGGATATTCAGGTCCTGGGGCCGCGTGGGCACGGTAATTGGTAGTAACAAACTGGAGCAGATGCCATCCAAGGAGGAGGCCATTGAGCATTTTACGAAATTATATGAAGAGAAAACCGGGAATGCCTGGCACTCCAAAAACTTCACAAAACACCCCAAAAAGTTCTACCCTCTGGAGATTGACTATGGCCAGGTAATCACTTAATGCTCTTACACCTTCTAGTTCTGATAAAAGGAAGGGACACTATTCTTTTAAAAACGTGCCATGGAACAGATGGCATCATTGGTGAATCTTATCAAATGGTTAAAGAATTAATACTGGTCCTTCATAAACTTTTCCAAGAGAGAGAAGAGGAGGAAACACTCTTCAACTCATTATGTGAGACCAGTATTATCCTGATACCAAAGATGAACAAAGACATCCCGAGAAAACTCCAGTCCAATATCCTTATAAATATAGATGCAAAATCCTCAACAAAATACTAACAAACCGAGTCTAGCAGCACTTGAGGATTTATGCACCATGACTGAGTGGGATTTATCCCAGGAATGCAAGGTTGGTTCAACATGGAAGTCAAGTCCATGTAATGTAACGTGAATAGAATAAAGGACAGAAGCCACATAGTCATCCTGATAAACATAGAAAAAGCATTTCATAAAATCCAGCACCCTTTCATGAATAGAATCTGCCCCGTGAAATAGGAGATGGCGCTTAGATGAGAACAAGCAGTGTAAGCATTTTTAAGACTGTCAAGGAGGAACGGTCTTTGAAGTTGCTCCCTAAACACGACAGGGAGTAATTCACAGATTCCAGGTGAGGTTTCTCATCTGAAGCTATGTTGAATCATAGATCACGCGACTTGCTTTACCATCAAGATAGAATTATAGTGACTTGACATGCTCCAGTAGGTCCCAGTTTTTAGTCCCAAATTATTTCCTAATAATTTCCCATTATTTATATTTGTTGCTACTTTGGTGGCCATTGGTTTTCACAAAATGCTTACCTTGTTTTTATTTTATTTTATTTTTATTTTTGGCTGTGTTGGGTCTACGTTGCTGCATGTGGGCTTTCTCTAGCTGCAGCGAGCAGGGGCTACTCTTCGTTGTGGTGGGCGGGCTTCAGTAGTTGCAGCACGTGGGCTTCGGTAGTTGTGGCTCGCGGGCTCTAGAGCGCAGGCTCCGTGGTTGTGGTCCACGGGCTTAGTTGGTCCGCAGCCCGTGGGATCTTCCCGGACCAGGGATCAAACCCGTGTCCCCTGCATTGGCAGGCAGATTCTTAACCACTGTGCCACCAGGGAAGTCCCACCTTGTTTTTATATGAAAACTTACTGCTTTTATAATGGGGAGTGGTGCACGCTTATATTGCAGAAAGAAAGAGATTTGTAGATGGTACAGATTTAATTCCAAATTTTTGAGACCTAACATGTGTTAAAGGGAGAATTCTCTAGTTTATAGAGAGTGTCATGAGCTCTACCATTAAAAATAGAAATTAGCTCTTGTATAATGTTGAGGTGGAGAACTTGGGAGTTTAGAGTTGCACAGATTTGGTCTAACTCAGCAGTGCCCCCTAGTGAGTTTATTGTTCCCATTTCAAAAATATATACAGTTGAGCAACACAGGTTTGAACTGCATGGGTCCACTTACATGTGGAATTTTTTTCATTAGTAAATACTACAGTTCCACACAATCCGTGGTTGGTTGAATCCACGGATGCAGCACTGAGGATAGGGAGAAACCAGGAATATGGAGGACCAACTCTGTTATTCTCGGATTTTCGACTGCACAGAAGGTTAATGCCCTTAGTCCCTGAGTTGCTCAAGGGTCAACTGTATTTGTTTTAGAAAATTTTGAGAATGACAGAGGCACAAAGAATTAAAATCATGGTGTATGTCTTTATATACTACTTTTACTTCACAGCTACTTTTCCCCAATGTAACACTGGAGTCTTTCCCTACATACTGTATTTTCACCACCAGCTTTTGGCCTTACTGTTCTAGGAGCATTTCCCCATGTCTTCTAGAGCAATGCTGTCCAACAGAGAGAGATAGGCAGCCACTTAGGCAATTTTAAACATTCTAGTAGCTACATTTTAAAAAGCAAAATGAAACAGTGAAATTAATACTAGTTATGTGTTTAACCCAGAATATCCAAAATATTATCATTTTGATATATTAATATCATTGAGATATTTTTACCTTTTTTTTTTTAACTGAATATTTGAGAGCTGGTGTATTTTTAGCTCTTACAACACAGCTCAATTCAGAGTGGCCACATGTCAAAACCAGTGACTACTGTATTAAACTGCACTGAACTAGAGCATCATTTCTTAAGTCTGTATAGAATTCCATCCTGTGGGTGGCCATTATTTGTGATTTACCAAACAACACCCTCCCATGCCCCAATTAGATACTTAGATTATTTCCAGGTATCTGCTATAATGATGCTGATTTACTTACCTCTGTGCTTGTTATCATTAGAGATCGAGTTACCGGGTCACAGAGTATACGTGTTTAAATAAGGCTTTTTAACATACTAATAGTTTGCCTTCAGTGAAGTTACAGCTACAGCAGGGGTCCCCAATCCCTGGGCCACGGACCAGTACCTACTAGGAACCAGGCCGCACAGCAGGATGTGAGGGGCAGGCGAGCGAGCCAAGCTTCATCTGTATTTACAGGCGCTCCCCATCGCTCCCGTTACCGCCTGAGCGCCGCCTCCTGTCAGATCAGCGATGGCGTTAGATTCTCATAGGAGTGCGAACCCTACTGTGAACTGTGTGCGCAAGGGATCCAGGTTGCGTGCTCCTTATGAGAATCTAATGCCCGATGATCCGAGGTGGAGCTGAGGCGGTGATGCCAGCGCTGGGGAGCGGCTGCAAATACAGATCATCATTAGCAGAGAGGTTTGACTGCACAGAGACCATAATAAATCAGTTGCTTGCAGACTCATATCAAAACCCTATCAGTGAGTGGCAAGTGAAATCAAGCTCGGGGCTCCCACTGATTCTGCATTATGGTGACTTGTATAATTATTTCATTATATAGTACAGTGTACTAATAATAGAAATAAAGTGCACAATAAACGTAATGCACCTGAATCATCCCGAAACCATTCCCCCACCCCCAGTCCGTGGAAAAATTGTCTTCCGCAAAACCGGTCCCTGGTGCCAAAAAGATTGGGAACCACTGAGCTAGAGGATAAGAATGCATCTAAGACGTGTGTTTCCGCATCAAGAGTAGATGTATTGTGCCCCTGACAGCAGCAGCCCTGAACACTAGCACACAGGTTCCTCTGCAGCTTTGTTAAGCCAGGCAGATTCCAGGCTCAAGGCCCAATGCCAGTTACCTTCATTCAAAACAAATACCAAACACCGTTAGTTGTTAGGGGACGCCGTGATGGTCATAGTCCCTGCCCTTGTGGGTTCAAACGTGAGAAGGGTTAAGGCATTTTCAGCATAGCCGGGTCTTGGCTCAGCCTGGATTCCCCGGATGGCAGGGGTGAAGTCCTGTGCTAGTAGAATATTGGGAAGAGCAGTCCCAGAGAACTGGGGTGAGGGGTGCAGACTTGGGAGGGTTGATGCTGGGATGCGCTTTAGCTGCCTGGCGGGAAGTCGGACTGTTAGCATGGTCCTCTGGCACTATAGAGAATGCTGTGTGGATTCAGTCTTTGGGGAGGCAGGGCAAGAGAAGAAAGGAGACAAGATTTGTCCATCAGTCCAGTGTCCCCTGGGTCCAAGGATCACCCTCATAGCTGCCCAGCACTTCCAGGTTGGGCAGGAATGGGCCCCGGGCAGGTTCCCAGGCACAGGGCACCAGCACCCCCGGCATGGGAGGCAGTGAGGGAGGAGGTGAGGGCATGAGGGGAGTGTGGGTGCCTGCGGGTCTGCCTGTACAGAGCTGGATGCTTCAGTGGCGTCTGGAGTAAGAATCCGGAGCAGCCAAGAGGACCTGGAGGGGTGCACAGCAAGTATCTGGTCCTGTACACACGCATACATGCTTCTCCTGGCAACTAACGCCAAGCCTTTTTGATTAACACTCAGCTTTTTTTTTTTGGCTGGTGGCACTCCATCCTGTGTCCTTTCTCTGCCAAACACCACCACCACTTTGCTTAGGTTGTTTAATTGTGTCCCTTCCTGATTTTCTTTTTCCCTAAAGGATGAAGAGGCAGTAAAGAAGCTGACGGTAAACCCTGGCACCAAGTCCAAGCTCCCCAAGCCAGTGCAGGACCTCATTAAGATGATCTTTGATGTGGAAAGTATGAAGAAAGCCATGGTGGAGTATGAGGTTACTGCACTTTCTGTTTTATCTGTGAGCGTTCGCTGGGGTTGATGATTTGAGTGCCGAGTTGGCAACGAGTTTGGTGGCTGGTCTTCAGCCTGAGACATGCAGGAGCTCTGAGGCCTGGGGTGCGTGCTCTTTTGCAGAGGATCGTTGACCTGCGGTGAGATAGATGGTGTGTTGTCCCCTGGGTCCCTAGACCCACTTGCACTTTTCCCCTCGTTGCCATGATGGAGTGTAGGCATGGTCTTTCGTGGCCCAACCAAACGGGCCACCTGGGGCTGTCATGGGAAGTCCAAGACATAGCCCACTTACGGTAAAAGAACTCCTGTAACCAGCATTGACAGAAATGCAGAGAGCTTCTGACACTTACTTCATCAGATAAAATTCATACCAGCTGTTTTTAAGGAGAGATTGGGCTGGGTGGGATGGGGGTGATGGTATTTGTTTTTGTCCAGGGCAAGTGGCGGGGACCCTGGCCAAGGCCAGGCGTTTTCAGTTTGTTTCCCTGGGAAATGAGTGCAGAAGGGCCCCTTGCTCTTGCTGCCTCTGGCATCAGAGGTCTTGAGTGCTCACCCAAGGGGCATTCCCACAGAGGTCGTCCAGGCGCTGCTGGTATCTGGCTGGCAAACAGACTCTCCCCTCTTCTCCAGCCACCGAGCCCAGAAGCTTCAGGCTGCTCTGAAAAACAAGCAGGGACCAGCCGAGAGAGCAAGAATTGCAGATCGGCCTTGGCCATTGCGCCCCTTCGCCGGCTGGCTCCCTCCCTGCCTCTTCCCAGGGCCTTCCTAGAGGCTCCCGGCAGCCTTGGAGGGGGGCGGGACGAATCTGAGTGGTATAAACCACTGGCAGCCTCTCTTCCTCAGCCCCGCATCTCCGTGTCTGGAGCTCAGCCTGGCAGGACTGCTCAGGCTCCACTGTTGTTAGAAAACTGAGTGTTGGGTCACCTCCTAGGAAACCCCTAATGGGTTTGAAGATAGCCAGGGCTTGTGCGGATGTCTTGTTCAAACAGATAAACAACCCGACTTCTGTCTGGGAGGTCTGACTAGTTTGAACAGCTTGTGGGTGGGCTCCCCAGGAATGCTGGCAGCGAGATGTGTGGAGGCGGGGAGGAGGGCAGGAGGCAACTTCATTTCATTAACGTTTCAAAAGAAATGTCCCACGTATCATTTCCGGCTTCCTGTGCTCTGGCTTATCTGTGATTCATAGAATTTCTCAACTGTGATCAGACCCAGTCTCTTTCTGTGAAAATGACTTTTTTTTTTTTTTTTTAGCTTGTTTTACACTCAAGGCAGGGAACTAGTTGATAAGAGGAGGCAGAGGGCCAGGGGCCTGCTGCTGGAAGGCAGCCTGTGTTGAGAATGTGGCGAGGGGGGCGCCCGCTCCCAGCCTGATGGGCTCCACGTGGGACTGGGTGGCCAGGTAGATGAGTAAACATGGTGCCCAGGGGAACTGAGCGCTCCCTGTAAGGCGGGTGCGTCCTGAGCCCAGAGCAGAGTCCCAGCTGAGGTCGGGAGGGTGTGTGCTGTATCCAGAGTCCTGGCTACAGCTCTCGAAGCCTCCCTCTGGCTGCAGCTGTGGCTCTCAGTGCCCTGAGCCCAAGGCATCTCTCCCACTTTTCACTTTCTCCCTAAACGCAGCTGCTGTGGAGCCCCTGCCCCCAGCCCACAGTCGGGAGGGGAGGCAGCTTGTGTTGGTTGAGCCCTGTTCCTGTTCTTGTGGCCTTTGTGTGTGTGTGTGTGTTGAGGGTGTCGGTTAGAGACACCAGGTCTTTTTTTAAATAAACACCGAAATGAGACAGCTCAGGGAAGCCGCTCCCCTCAGAGCATGTGCTCTCACTCTGGTCACACTGCCCTTGGTCAGAGCATCTTCCGGAGTTCCTTCTTTAGAATTGCTTTAGAGCCAGCTCAGTCCATGCTAAGGTCACTCTGTTCTTTTATTTTATTGTGGTCTTGGCTCAGAATACATTACCCACCTCCTTCCCCGGACTGAGCGCCAACTATTTAACTCTTCCCAGAAACCGGCTCTCCCCTGGGGATGGACAGTACTGAGGGTACAGAGACGCTGACGTGCCATAGCTTGTCATCATTAGACGCTGTCACCACTGGCCCCTGATCGGTTCCTCATGGGCTGTGAGCACTTTCACATCCTGTTTCATTTAATCGGCGTAGTGGTCTCATCTCTCAAGTGCTTATCCAGCCCAGTCTTTGTTCCAGGCCCTGCAGGTGCTGGAGATGTCAAGACGGGCAAGGTGCAGTGCTGGGGCCGGGAGCTCAGAGGGTCCACTGGGAACAGCCCTGGAGACAGTGGCTCCGGTTTCAGGGTGAGGGGCCCCGTGCGGCACTGAGGCGGGAGAGGGGCCGAGGCAGCTTTCGGGCAGGTCGCTCCCACGGGGAGCAGGTGCCTCGCCCGCTAGCTGGCGACCAGGCCTCGGCCCCCAGAGTTCACGCTTCTGCCGCTGCAGCCAGCTTGCCACCTCCCTGGATGCTGGTTCCCAAGGTATTGTGAGCAGCACTGTCGTAGGGACGGATGTTTAACCTTTGGGGTGACTGATTTGAAGGGCACACTGTTGATTTGGTGTAAGCATGTATGTTCAGGGGTGTGTCCTCTGAAAAATAATTTTCACCGCTTTATGGTTCTTATTTTCCGGGTGGAAATGGCCTTGGCTCTGAGACCCCAGGGAGGGTGCACCTTCGTCCTCACTTTGGAATTAGATGGGAGTCCTGCTGTGTCACCTTCTTCCAGAAGCGTGGGGCTGTTTCAGACTGAGTGCAGGGGTGGGCGAGCCCTGCTTGGCTTTTCCCTGCCGCAAATGGCAGTGAGCCAGAATCTTCCCTCCCAGACTCCTGTCCCCTGCAGTGGGGGCGAGGCTGCAAAGCCCGTGGAGCTGGGTCACCGGCTGTCCCCGGGAGGACCAGAAAGACTTGTGACTGCTTCTGTAAGGGCCCAGGAGGCCTGGGGTGCCGCTTGGTCCGGCTCTCCCATCATCTCCCTGCACAGTGCTTTCAAAGGGAAAAATACCCCTGTCTCCTCAGATTGACCTTCAGAAGATGCCCTTGGGGAAGCTGAGCAAAAGGCAGATCCAGGCTGCGTACTCCATCCTTAGTGAGGTCCAGCAGGTAAGCGAGGGACCGGCCTTTCCTCCAGCTGCCCAGGGGGTCTCCTGGCTGCCCTGTCACGGCAGGGGGGCAGTGGAGAGCACGCAGCAGTACATTTACTCAAGGTTACATGAAACAGGCATACTGATTCATGATGATTTAGATGTTTTCAGTTCAACAAGTATGACAAGTGCCTGCCACTTGCGAAAAGATGGTCCCAGTACTGATGATTTAGCGGTGTTTTCAGTTATCAGCTATGCAGTAAACTCCCTATACGCCTAATGAGGAATTTCGTTCTCCTGCCTCATAGAAATGTTCTGATTTTTATTTTGTGTGTCCTTAAGAGAAGCTGAGTTTATTTTGCAGTTACTAGGAAATCATCAAATAGAAAGTTAAATATTGTCTTTCTCTCATTTATGTTCATTCAACATCAATTTGCTGAGCATCTCCAACGTCCCCCAGTCCCTGGAGCCTGATTTAAGCCTCTGCCCTGAAGGGGCTGGAGGGCTCCACTTGTATTTGGGAGTGGCGTGTGAAAGAAGAAAAGCAAACAGGAAACTCAAGTGGGACCAGGGAGGTGGGCTCCGGCTGGTGCTGGAGAGGAGGCCCTGAAATGTAGCCATTAAATCTGGTTACAGCCAGTCCTGAGCAGTGACCCCTTTCCTTGTTACCCACTGCCTGAGACCTGGAAGGCTTTCCTCAGCCCAGGCTCTTTCCTGTTCCAGAATGTTCAGGCGGAGGGGCTGGGGTGGTGTCCTTTGCCCATAGCACAGAGCAAACTGCAGCACAGGCAGAGGTTTAGGGTGTGGACAAGACCGTGTCACGGTGAGAAGCAGACTTGGAGCTTCGTGCCCGCAGGGTGCCGAGTCATTGCCCCCCTGCCATCCTGTAGGCCCCGAGGGTGTCTGCCAAGTTTGCAGTGACTAGTCCAGCTCCTCCATTTCTGTGTGCGTTTACTGAGCACCTTCTGCATAGAGCGCTAATGGCATCGTAGCATAGGGAGGGGCTCACCTTTCTGTGCCTGGCCCTGGCCCTCTGGGGGCACCAACGACAAATTCCCCACCTTAAAGATGAAGGTCAGTGGCCAAAGGGGCCTGACTGAATTTGGTAGCAGTGGGGGTTTTTCTCCCTTTCAACATTTTATTATGAAATGTTTACAAACATACAAAAAGTTGAAAGCTACGAGCCCACCACCTAGATGCCGCAGGTGACGTTTTGCGGAGTGGTGGAGGTTGATGTGTCTGTGACTACACAGCTCTCTGTACAAGGGAAGTTGTGTACGAGGAGCCCCGTGTGTGCCAAGCCGCACAGTTTGAGGACGAGATCCTGCCACCGCCCGGCTGAGCGACACCCCAGGAAGGAGGTTTCCTGGCCCGCGTGCCCCGCAGGCTGCCTCGGGACTCAGCTGCGGCACCCAGCGTCCAGAGGAGAAAGCCCGGCCAGGTGCTGGGGACTCAGTGCTGCTTCAGTCTGTTCCCTCTGTCCCCTCTCCTAAAGGTACTGTCCCAGGGCAGCAGCGACTCCCAGATCCTGGATCTCTCAAATCGCTTCTACACCCTGATCCCCCACGACTTCGGGATGAAGAAGCCTCCGCTCCTGAGCAACTCAGACAGCGTGCAGGTAGCACCGAGGTCCAGCAGGGAGCCCCGGGTCCCGGGCTTTGCAGGGCTGGGTGTCGCTCCCGTGCCACTGCCCCTCCATGTCACGATCCCTGGGGGCAGCGGCCAGTGCTGGAGGCCCACCACTGGGCCCTCGTTTTGAAGTGGGGTTTCTACCCGTATTAGGAGCCTGCCCAAGGGTAGAACGGTTGGTTTTTCCTGCCCTTCCTGGACCACGTCAGTCTGGGGAAAAGGAGCCTTAGGAGAGAGGGAGCGTCTTCCTCCCTGCTTTCCCTCCCTGCTTCATAAGGGAGCCAGTGATCAGTCCCCACCTGTCAACCAGTGCGTGCAAGAGGAAAGACCGTTCTTACCATCACCGTGTGGCTTCTGCCTCTTCTCCCAGCCTCCTTAGCATTCCAGAAATCCTTAGGAGTGTTCATCTGCGAACGGTTGGCGGGCTGTCCCTGAGCAGCTAGGAGGCACCTCGTCACTCTCTGTGTTGGACGTTACCTGGGTGAGTCTTTCTCCCTCACCTTGGTCCTTAGCTCAGGGTTTTTCTTGTGTTCCTCCAGGCCAAGGTGGAAATGCTCGACAACCTGCTGGACATCGAGGTGGCCTACAGTCTGCTCAGGGGTGGTTCTGATGACAGCAGCAAGGACCCCATCGATGTCAACTATGAGAAGCTCAGAACTGACATTATGGTAACAGGGCCTGCCCTTTCTGAAGCATCCAAACCCTTCATCCCAAGAGCAGTGGTCCCCAAACCTGAATGTGCATCAGCATCTCCTGGAGAGCTTGTTAGGACAGATTGCTGGGGTCCGAAGATTGACCGTCCTAACAGGTTCCCAGGTGTTGCTGCTTGTGATACTCTGAGAACCTCAGAGCGTTTCACCGGTAAAGAAGCACCTTGTTTGTGAGGCAGACTTCCAGTTCGCGGCCTCAACTGAGTGTAAAGACCTGTTTTTGTGGGGCCTTAAAGTTTTGTTTTTCCCCTTCATCTAGAGAGGGTCTCTGTTTTTGGAGGTTGTTGAGGTGTGAACTCTGCAGGATCTGTTACTGGTATCCTACTTGAGACGTAGAGGTGCCTGACGGCAGCTGTAATAAAACTGTGGTGCCTGGGTTCATGTCCTCTGGAGTCGAAGTGGCTCTTCGACTGGTGCACATAGTCGTTGAACTTGGGTGTGCTGGAGGCTTGGGCAGCAATCACCCTGCCTAAGCCACCCGGAGGAGAAATTTTTGCCTCAGCTCCGAGCTTGCCCTGGCCTTGAGCCCAGTCTCACATCTCTCTTCCTCAGCCCCCGTGTCCTTCCCTGCAGTGTTAGGAGGTTCAAGTGCACCAGGATCTGTTGAGCCTGGTGTCGTGTGTTTACGTCACTGAAAGAGTCTTTGCTCCGTGCTTAGGACAAAGTACAGGTCTGTGGGTGTATGCAGGGTAGGACACCAAACGGCCTGGTTCTTCGTGAAGGGGTTGTTATTCTCTCCGTCTATGATTCTGAAGCCCTTTAATTAAGAGGCAACGAGGAAGACCAGAATTCCTGACTTCTCTTAACTTTGGATAAGAGTATGAAAATGTAAGAGAACACACGTCGTATTTCCCATAACACACCCATTTATTTAGGCAGAGATTCCGTTACTTGATGGTTATTTGGTGGGTGTTTGCTCTGAGCCGTGATGTGCACGGCCCTGAGGATCCAGAGATGGAGCATTCATCCCCATTGTCAAAACCCCTGTAGTCCGTGGGCTCCCTGCTGCTTTTCATTGCAAGTCTTGGCTGCAGGGTGTCTCCTGGCCCCGGTGTTTTAACTCTTGGTGAGCTGGAGTGTTACCTGAGAGCCAGCTCCTTGTTCTAGAGGCTCCCTCTTCCCAGACAGTGAGCCCCGTGTTTCTAGCTTTCCTGATATCCCAAAGCACAGGGTTTTAGGGCAGAAGGAACACTGGGCTCATCCAGATAGGTGATGAAGAAGCCGATGCCTGGGGAGGTGGGGGCACTGGCCTGGCACCTGCCCCAGAGCGAGCGTGGTAGGGCTCGGAACACAGGCTGGCTCTGTCCCGCCCGGGCTCCACGTGGGCCGTTTATTACCTGTGCATCAGCTGAGCCCGTGATTGTTCTTCCTGCCTCTGTGCAGCTCTCTTGGGGTCTCCCTTGCTCTAATTTCCAGGCGCCTTCCTTCTAGGTGGTGGACAAAGATTCTGAAGAGGCTGAGATCATTAGGAAGTATGTTAAGAACACTCACGCAACCACACACAACGCATATGACTTGGAAGTCGTGGATGTAAGGCTCTCTCCTCCCTCTGCCCCCTTTGTGTCCTGCCAGCTCTTCCCTGCTCATTCCTCCGACCTGGGCCTGGGTAGAAAGGAGCAGTTAACTTTGCTTTAAATCACCAGAGGAAGTGACTCGGTTGTTTGTGGAACACAGAAGTTCATAGTCCTATGGTTTGGGGTTGGCTTTTTATTCTGTTTTTTTAAAAGACATTTCCTACCCCGAAACCTAGTTTTGCAATCAGAACTGTTATCAGAGATCCAAAATAAAGTGCCTCAAGGGTGCACCTACACGTAGCATTAATTTTAATAGCTAGTCTCTGCTAAATGGGACCTTGAATAGCAACGTTGCTCCGTCCCAGCCTGATTGAAACACCTTGCATACTGCAGAAGGCCTTAAAGTGTTCCAGCTCTGGGGACAGACAGCTGGTCGGTTCTCCTGTGTCTAGTCAGATCTCCAGTTAACCAGAGTGACAAGTGGTTCCTCCTGCCTCTCTCCTTTATTCAATGCTCCGACCAGATCTTTAAGATAGAGCGTGAAGGAGAGAGCCAGCGTTACAAGCCGTTCAAGCAGCTGCATAACCGAAGGTTGCTGTGGCACGGGTCCAGGACCACCAACTTCGCCGGGATCCTGTCCCAGGGCCTCCGGATAGCCCCACCTGAAGCACCTGTGGTACGTGCCTGGCCCAAGAGCTGTGGGGAGAGTGGGGCGGGGGGGCAGTGCCTGTTTCTGCTGCTGTCTCCACCAGAGCTTTGTGGGTACTTGCGTGAGAAGTGCGCATGCCCCGGTGAATAAGGGGCCTTGTTTAAAGATGTAGGTGTAGCCATGGTTGATAAGGTGAATGTTGCCAGATGTCCCTCTCCTGACCCTCACTGTTGAGAGCGTAGCTGCACACGTATCAAGCAGAGTTTCTGGAACAAAGGAAGTAAGTGTCCAGGCCCTGCTTTGAATGCTAATTGGGTGTGTTGACTGACAGAGAGCAGATTTTGGCCGCAGGCCAGGCTGAGTTCAGACCTGCCTCTCCCACCTCCCAGCGGGGGACCTCCTTGAGCTTCAGCACATGCCTCGGTGGAATGTGCCGATAAATGAGTAGAGCCTGACCCAGACCTGAGCGACTGCTGTGTCACCTGCTGGGTTACAGACGTGACCCACCAGGCAGGGACTTAGGAATAGTCTTCCAAGCCCCTCGTTTTGTACTTGTAAAAAGAGGGGAGCAAAGAGGCTTAATGACCGGACTCATGAGTGCTGCGTGGTAGCAAACACCCTAAGCTCTCTGAACCTCGTTTTCACTTACCAAAAGGAATAAATATAATAGCCATGTTTACTGGGTGTTCACACGTGCCAGGCCCTGGTTTAAGAAGCTGTTATTAACTCATTTAATTTTCACAGCAGCCCCCTGGGGTGCTTTCCCCCCAGTTTGGAGAAGGAAGTGGGGTCCAGAGAGATTAGGTAACTTCTCCCAGCCCCTGGGTACCCGGCAGAGCTGGGATCCGAACAGCCTGCTCCGGAGCATGGGCCTCTACCGCCTGCGGGGGCGCTGTGGGAAGTGGGGACACGCAGTCAGTAGTAGGTGGTGCTGCTAACTTGCCGTGAGAAGGTCTTCAGCTGTCCCTTTTCCATTCCTCCAGACGGGCTACATGTTTGGTAAGGGGATCTATTTCGCCGACATGGTCTCTAAGAGTGCCAACTACTGCCACACATCCCAGGGAGACCCAATAGGCTTAATCCTGTTGGGAGAAGTTGCCCTTGGAAACATGTGAGTAACCCTGGCTTTGGGGCTGGTGGCAGTTGATGGGGGTGGGTGGGGTGAGCTGTAGGAAGGAGAGCTTCCCTTGGCTGGGGGTTGATCCTGAGAATTCCCCACCGTGATTAAGAGGACCCACCAGTTAGGCAGTGGGTATCAGACGCCAGTGCATGTTAAGCAAACAAGATACAGGAACGCCTCACGAGACCAAGGACAGGAATACAGCCAGGCCTCGGGAACTGGCAGTGTCCATTCTTCCTGTGGGCTGCGAAACAGAGAGGTTGACTTGCACAAAGGATGGTCATCTCATGGCCCCTGTCCCCCTGCTGATGTGTACATTTTCTGTCTGAGACCAACTCAGATTGAACTGGAATCTCAATCCCAGTTCCAGATTCCCTGCAGAGGAAGTCTGATTGGCCCAGCTTGGATTGATTGTCCACCTTGGTCCCATCAACCGTAACCCAAAGAGAGCAGGGTTATGTAACTGACCAGGAGGGGTCCCAGGTTCGTGAGCTGGACAGAAACCTCCAGAACGCCCAGCCACCCCACAGCTCTAAACGGGCCCTTTCCTGAAAGCGGCCCCATGGCAGTGATCATGGGCATAAACTGTTCAAAAGGGGCTGCGCCGTCAGTTTCTAGAACCAGAGAAGGAGGGAGTTCCTAGCATGGAAGGTGGACTGGGTTCTCTGAGTGTTTATCTCAGCAGCTCCCGTGGCCTTGCTCTGCTAGTCATACTGTTGGTTTGAGAGCCCAGTGACCTTGGAGGCCCTTCTGAACCTGTCTTCTCTTAAATAGGTATGAACTGAAGCATGCTTCGCATATCAGCAAGTTACCCAAGGGCAAGCACAGTGTCAAAGGTAATGTGTTTCAGAAACTTGCTGCTGCAGCCCCAGGCACCCTGGATGGCGCAGGGAGGGGGCTTTCTTTCCCCCAAAGCCGCAGTTCCTATGGCTAGCTATTACAGGTTCATTTTAAAAAAAAAAAAAAAAAAAAGATTCTCTATGCCTGCCACTAGTATCGCAAATGCCATAGGAGAGTCCTGATTGGAGCTCCAGTAACCAGGCGCACTGGCTCTGGGTTTTAACCTGACTCTTAGCTTCAGCATTGAGGGACCTCTGGTGGCACCTGGAGCTTCTTGAATTGATGCAGCTCGTAGCCCATGATGATTAGGACCTCCTACTGACTAGTTGAAGCGAGGGCTTTGGAATTCTGCTCAACAGAAAGAGGGCCAGGGCCACTACTATGCTTATGAAAATCATTTAAGGCTGATACCCTGGAACTTGATAATATACCTACAGCTTTATGTCTGGAAGAAGGATGCAGTATGGGATGGGATTTGTGTGTCTTTTAAATGAACACATAGATCTCATCTCTCTGGAGCATTTTCAACACCTGTTGCCACAAATCATATCACTTCTGCCTTCTGTTTTGCAGGTTTGGGCAAAACTACCCCTGACCCTTCAGCTAGTATTACTATGGATGGTGTAGAGGTTCCTCTTGGGACCGGGATTTCATCTGGTGTTAACGACACCTGTCTACTGTATAACGAGTATCCTTTTACGAGTGTGCTGTGTGAGCCCAAAGGAGTGTTCTGGGGCTGTGGAGTCACTGATACGCAGCCAGTTAACCTGGGGTGGGCTGGCTAGAGACTATCCTGTTGTGTGTCGTTCCCCGCAGTGGTCTCCCTGGTCGGGGTGAGAGACCTGAACGCCCCCC